TCCTCCTCCTCCTCCTCCTCCTCCTCCTCCTCCTCCTTCTCAGGTCCTCCTCCTCTTTCTCCATTCCTTTCGACTCTGCCGATCGCACGCGGCCTGAGCCGGCCTTCACAGTACCGCCTGCGTCGTGATGAGAGGCTTCGGTGGACAAGCACACGTTGGCGCTAGCACGCGTTCCGAGGATCATCGGCAGGAGGGGGTGGGAACAGCCAGCCCGGCGTGGGGGTGAGGCAAGGAGGGGGGGGAGGTTCGAGCTTCGAGGTTCTCGAACATGTTCGGTGGGCCCTGTCGATTCTCCACCTTCGGGATGCGTTCCAGCAGCCGTGCCTCGCCGAGAGCGTGCTGGGGGTGCCCAGATCGCCCCGAACGGCCGCTGGAGACCAGAGTTATCGTGGCCTGAAAACCAAGGGGCAACGCTAAGGGGGCGGCGTCGATCCCCCACATCGCCACCCGGGGCCTCGGTGCCCAGACCCCGCCCAGGAGCGCCCGGCGATGGCCCTCGAGAGCCAGTTGCCGCTTCGTATAGGGCTACACGCCGGTCGTTGAAAGTAGATATGTTTGGATTCCCAGATCCCAATCTACTTCAAGCGCCTTCCTACTTGAAGAATCGGCATGCTTTTGCTGTGTCTTGCTGTTCTCTGGGAGGACCTGGACCCAACCTACTGTATCCGCCTTCCTACTTCATGTCTCTATCTACTTCTTCCGACCGACGTGTATTCATCGCCGGTTCCAGGCCAGTGCTTGCGCTCCGCCCCGATGCCCACCGGCATGATTTTCCCATCCCCGCGCGCGGCCCAGCGCCCCCGATCCCTTGGCGCTCCGGCTCCGTTCTGCTGGCGTCCCCGTGGCCCGCGGGCGGCCCCCTGAAGGCCGGAATGAGGAAGCAACGCCTCCTCCTCCTCCTCCTCCTCCTCCTCCTCCTCCTCCTGCTCCATCTCCTCCTCCTCCTCCTCCTCCTGCTCCTCCTCCTCCTCCTCCTCCTCCTCCTCCTCCTGATTGAAAAAACCAAGGGCCACAACATCGTTTAGCTTGTGTTGGGCCTCTGGCTCGTTTCTCTTGCCGTTGCTCGTTGTTGCTCTGTTTCGAGGATCGCGTCGTGTCAGCCGCCTCGTTTCGTTCGTCGCTTCCTTTGGCACCCGTTTCGGTTTTCGGCGACTGTTTTTTAACACATCGCTGCGGTTGGCCGTCGGGCGCCGCCGGAGGCTCGAGCCCGAGCCCGCCCTTCCCCCGATCGCCTCCTCCTCTTCGCGGGCGGGCCCGAGGCCTCGCGGGTCGGGCCAAAGGGCCGCGACCCTGCAGCTGCGGGGCGTTCAGGAGGAGGAGGAGGAGGAGGAGGAGGAGGAGGAGGAGGGAGGGGGAGGAGCAGGAGGAGGAGGAGGAGGGAGGAGGAGGAGGAGGAGGAGTGAGAGAGGAGGAGGAGGACGGGGCAGGAGGCGAGGAGGAGGGAGGAGGAGGGGGAGGAGGAGGAGGAGGGGTGAGGGGGGAGGGGGGAGGAGGAGGAGGAGGAGGAGGAGGATTGGGGGCTAGGGGAGAGGGGGAGGAGAGGGGAGGAGGAGGAGGAGGAGAAGGAGGAGGAGGAGGTATGAGATCGAGGCCGGTTCGGGGAGGGTGCCCCAGTGTTCTTCGTGCCTGCTGGATGCTCCTGTTCACCCCTGGGGAAGGGGGTTACCCTTGGAGGCCCTGGCTGGTTGGGGCCGGCGGAGGACCCCATGTTCCTGAGGGATGGTCTCTTGGCCTGGGTCCGGCTGTGCTTGTCTGTGCAGCCGCGCATCCGCGGAGCCACGCCCAGGAGTCCAGCCCGCGAGGGCGCGGGTACGCACACGGTGGAGGCCCACGCCAAGAGACGCCCTGCTTGCCTCCAGGGTGCCCTGGGTTCCTCGGGTTGCGATGGCTTGGCTACGGACAGCGTGACGCTCGCCGCCACCAAAAGTCGATGGATGTCCTGGGGTCTCAGGGCTGGGTTGTCTTGTGGAAGGTCTCTTGTGGACTGGCCTCCGCTGTATACGTTCGCCGCCACCAAAAATCAATTCTTAGGGCTGGGTTATCTTGTGGAAGGTTGTTTGTGGACTGGCCTCCGCTGGATATGTTCGCCGCCGCCAAAAATCGATGGACGTCCTGGGGCCTCAGGGCTGGGTTATCTTGTGGACGGTTTCCTGTGGACTGGCCTCCGCTGTGCACGTTCGCCGCCCGTGGCCTCCGACAGTAGGGGGACAAAAAGCCACAGGAACACAAAACCTCGGAGGTCCGCTGCGATCGGGGAGAGCGGCGGGCGGGGGATGCAGGGAGAGGGCGCAGGGGGAGGGTGCAGGAGGAGCAGGAGGACGAGGAGGACACAGTAGGGGAACAAAGCGTGACATGAACACACAAAAACTCGGAGGTCCGCGCGGATATTTCTCGGATCGGCGCTGGGGCCCCCCGGCGGCGCCTCCGGCGCCGCCCCTGGCGCGCTCCGCGCGCCAGGCAGGGGGGTCCCAGCGCCGATCCGAGAAATATCCGCGCGGACCTCCGAGTTTCTATGCTCATGTGACTTTTTGCTCCCCTGTAGACGTTCGCCCGTTCCCCTGTATACGCTCGCCGCCCGTTTTTGTTCCTCTGCATACGTTCCCCGACAGGGGGCGGGCGAAGCCGCCGGAGCCCTTCTCGCCGGTGGCCCGGCGCCTCGTCGGCGCGCGCGCGGCGGCGGGCGAGGGGCTGCAGGATCGGGGAAGCGTAAGACTCGAGCAAGCCGGAACTCGGGTTTGCCGACGTTTTTTGACGAGCGCGTCCTGGTTTTTGACGGTCCAGTTTTCGTGGGATGTTTGCAGCGTGAGTTTGCAGCGTGAGTTCGCGTCAAATTTCAGATTGGGTCTCGTCATTTTCGCGATGGCCCTGTCAGGCCAACCCGAGTCCCCCGTACCCGAGTCTTACGTCTTCCCGACAGGAGGCGGTGCGAGCAGCCGCTCGCGTGCTGGGCGACGCGGGCCTGGCGCTGCGGAAGCCCGGGGGAGGACCGGCGGCGAGCGAGGGGGGGAAGTGAGAAGACAATGGGCGCCCTCGAGGGCGCGGAGTGATTCGCGCCTCGCGGTTCGGCGCCGATGCCTCCTCATCCTCCTCTTTTTTCCCCTGGGAGTCGGCGCTCGAGCGCGACGTCGTTCGCGCTTCGCGCAGCGCGGAGCGCGAAGGCGGGAGCCCTGGGAAGAGCCCAGACTCCCTCGGGTAATGACGAAATGGCGACGGGAGGTTTTTCCGTGTTTTCGGCCTCGGGAGGGCCGTACTGGGCCTCGGGACCGTCAGAAGACGACTCCGGATGAACAACTGGTCCAGGGGAATGGGTCGAGACCCTGGAGGGTCGACGTTATGAACGAAACATGACTTCGGGGGTCTGGGAGGGGGCCTTCTCAGAAGGCTCGGAAGTCCCCTGGCCTGCAGAGAAGTTTGTAAGATTTCCCCGAACACGCACAGAAAACCTCTCAGAAGGTCGCAGTGCTTCTGAGAAGCCCCGCTGCCTTCTGAGAGGTCCTGCTCCTTCTCACTTCCCCCCCCCATCGCTCGCCGCCGAAAGAAGCACGGTGGCCACGACCAAGACGTCGCGGGTTCTTGTCGACGCCGATCTTCTTGGGCGCCTGGTCCATGCCAGCCGTCGCCGTTTCGCGAGGATGGTCCACGAATCGACGATGAGCAAGATTGGGGAAAGCGTGCGGTTCGACTCGGCAAGAACTCGGGTTTGCCGACGCTTGCTGGAGAGGCCGTGCTGCAGTTTGACGGTCCAGTTTTGGCGGGATGTTGGCAGTGGGAGCTCGGGTCGAATTTCAGATTGGGCCTCGCCACTTTCCCGACGGCCCAGCCAGGCCAACCCAAGTTTCCCGAACCCGACTCTTATGAGTATCCCCGAATGCTGGACGATCACCAAGATTTATGCTGTTCCAACCTACTTTAGCCTGGATCACCAGAAAGACTTTCGAGCCCCCCAGAAATACCGAAACTCGATGGTTTTCACGTGTCGGGCCCTGGGAGACACTCGCCCGACACTCTTTCGACACTCTTTCGACACTCTTCCGGGTGCTCGAAATTATTTCTGGGATGTGGTCCTTAAGTAGGATGGGAACAACACAAACCAAGATCGACACCATCGTTTCCGCGCTCAATCTTGGCCATGTGCCTCGCTTTCTCTCCCCCCCCCAGGAGGGGCTCGGCCGCGCAGCTCGCGGCCATGCGGGAGGCTGGCGAGGTGCCGGCGTGGGCAGAGGCCGGCATCCTCGAGGCCTGCCAGGGGGGAGGGACTGCGGCCGGGGGCCGAGGCGGGGGAGAAGGGGAGGAGGGGAGACAGAGAAGAGAGTACGGCCAGGAAGGTCGGCTTAGCGTGTCGCTCCGCCGGTTCTGGCCCATTCCGACGCGACACGCACGTCCCTGCCCCCGCGCGTCCACATCCCGAGCCTTGCCCAGCTTCGCTGCCCGCGGAGCGGAGCGACACGCTGTTCGCTTGCAAGGTTGCAAGGCAGGGCGCGTCGCCGGGGCCGCCGGCGCGACACGCTCAGCAAAAGCTCCCGACCGAAGTCGAAGCCGCCTCTGGCGAATCACCGCCTGGAAACGCCTGCGTGCCCAACAACCCGCACAAGTCGCAGGAAGGCCAATGACTTTAGCGTCTGGGGCCCTCTTGGAGGCGTCTCTTGGGGCTCCCTGGGGGCTTCTTCGGCCGTCTTGAGGCGATCTCGGGGCTCCTTGGAGCACCTTGTGACCATCGTCGGCCCTCTGGGGGTCATCTTGGCCGTCTTGCGCGCGGTTTGGCGCCGCTTTGGGAGGCCATCTTGGGCGTCTTAGAGGCCCTCTTGGAGCTATCTTCGGTGGCGAAGTCCATGGAGACGCATGTTTGTCCAAGCGGCTGCTTGGGCCTGGGCCGACGGCTGCCAGGAATCTTATTGGAAGGAGCAAGGACGAGCTACATAGTTTGGCACGCCAAGCACCCCTCCAGCAGACGCCGAAAGCGAACCACCGCCGCCCCCTGAGGGGCCAAGGTCCGCTCAGCATCGGTGCCTGGGCCCCTCCCAGGGCCCGTTCTGGGAGTTTTCCGAGCTGCATGCAGGTGCGGCCGCGAGAACTTGCAGCTGTGTTTCATCCCCTGCTTCGCCGATCGGCGCGGGCCCCTGGCCCCCCTCCTCTCCCCCCTCCATGGGCAAGACCTTCGTGGCTGCTCGGGGCGACTGGTCAGGTCCCCCCCCCCACAGTCTGCTCGCGCGACTGCCAGGAGGCAGATCGACGAAGCACCGGCCCAGACCCAGACGCCCCCTTACCCCACCCTTAAGTCGGGCCTGTCCCTCTAAAGGAGGAATATTCGAAAATAATCGAAGAATACTCTGGGGACTATTTTTAATGATGCTTAACAATTTTTCATTTTTGTTTTGAGTAGTTTGAGTTTTCGTCCGAAATCCGCCTGTGGGAGGACATGCCCGACCTAACCCCACCCCTGGGCCCAAAGTCGCAACCCAGGACATACAGTGGAGGCCCATGCCAAGAAACACCCTGTTTGCCTCCAGGGTGCCCTGGGTTTCTTGGGTTCCGGTGCTTTTTTTGCGATGGGCAGCGGGACGCTCCCACGCCAAAGATCAGTGGACGTCCTGGGTTCTCAGGGCTGGGTTACTTGCGAAAGGTCTCTTGTGGTCGGGCCTCCACTGGGCGGCGGCGACGACGGCGGCGACGTCGGCGACGGCGGCAGCGCGTCCGTGGCGCCGGCGGCGGCCCGAAGAGCGGCGCGCAGGCCTGCGGCGGCTTCGCCGAGGTGCTGGCCACCGCCGCCGCAGCGCTGGGGGGCAGCCGCCTCTGCCAGGCGCTCGAGGAGCACTCGTTGGGGCGGGGTGCGGTCGGACCGAGGCATAAAGGATAGATCGAAGAAGAAGAAGAAGAAGATCGGCCCTCTCGACTAGACGTCAGAGTGACCCTTTTCGAAAAGGAAAAATGTCACAAACATAAACTTTTGGCGCTCCGCGCGGATTTCTTGGATCCGCGATGGCCCCCCCCCCCCTGGCGACGCCTCTGGCGCCGCCCCTGGCGCCAGGAAGATACTCGGGGGCCTGCGGCCCATGAGACCCTCCGCTGGCCTGGCTGAAGAACATTTGAGGGCAGACCCTCCTCCAGGATGCACCAGAACATCCCACAAACACGACGAACATGAGGGCTCCCCACCTGGCGGCGCCTCTGGCGCCGCCCCTGGCGCGCTCCGCGTGCCAGGGAGGGGGGGTCCAGCGCAGATCCAAGGAATCCGCGCGGAGCGCCGACAGTTTATGTTCATGGCGTTTTTGTTCTTCTTATGATCGAGGTCGGCTCGGGCAGGGGACCCTCATGGTCGCCGTGCTTGTGGGGTGTTCTTGTGCATCCGGGGGGGAGGGTCTACCCTTGAATGTTCTTCAGCTTTGCCGGTGCAGGGTCTCAGGTCCTGCAAGGATGTCCTTCTGTTCTAGGTCGGGCCGTTGTCCCAGCTGGCTTCAATGTGTCCCCCGAACAGTCGAGGGCGGTCTCTCAACACCCCAACCCTGGCGCGCGGAGCGCCGCACGGGCGTCGTCGGAGGCGGAGCCAGGGTGTTGAGATGCCACCCCGGACTACTCGGGGGGCCTGTTGAGGCCAGCTGGGACTACTCGGGTCGAGCGTTGCGCAATGGGGGTCGATAGTAGGGGAACGAACAATGACATAAACATACAAACTCGGTGGTCCGCGCGTATTTCTCGGATCCGCGCTGGACCCCCCTGGCGGCGCCCCTCCGGCGCCGCCCCTGGCGCGCTCGGGGCGCCAGGGAGGGGGGTCCAGCGCGGATCCGAGAAAACCGCACAGATCTCAGATTTTTTATGTTTATGCCCTTTTTCGTTCCCCTGGAGGAAAGGGCGGGTGAAAAAGAAGATGCGCCTTTGGTGCCCCCAAGGGGCCTGAGAGGGGCTTCCCTGGGGCCCAAAGGTGGGCAAGGAAGGGGCGCGCTTCTCCCGCCCCCTATGCATCACGCCCCCCCCCGTGAAGCAGCGCCCGACCCGAGTGGTCCCAGCTGGCCTCAACAGGCCCCCCCGAGAAGCTCGGAGCGGTCTCCGCACCCTGGCGCCCCCTCTGGCGGCGCCCCGTGAGGCGCTCCGCGCGCGAGGGTCCCAGACATGATCGCGCTTTCCAGACGTCAGGACGGGAGGTTCTTGGATTTTTTTGGGCCCCGGAGGGCCCTCGCCGGGCCTCGGGACCGTCGAAGAACGTTCTCGCGTCAGCGCCGTGCACCATTCGTTTGACACGTGTGCAGGAGCTTCACGGACTGAGGGCGGGGGGTTTTCGCCATCGCGCTGGGCACAATCGTGTCAATAATTTGCAAGAGAATTCACGGATTGAGGGCGGCTAGTTTAGCGCCGCGCACAGTTTTTTAGAGCAACTGCAAGAGCTCCACGGGTTCTCAAGGTGAATGTATTTGTTAGAAACGACTCAGGATTGTCAGGGTGTAACAGTTACGTTGATTCGTGGTGTTGAAGTACCAGGAATGGTGTTCTGGCACGCTTCAGGATCGCCAAGACGTGAAAGTCAGGTTATTTCGTGGCGTTGATGTACTGAGAGCGGTGTCTTGGCGCGCTTCAAAATGCTCACATGGTTCTCCCCCAACGGGGCATTTCCTTCAGTGGAAATGTTTTTTTAAGGGGCCTATAAACAGGGATCGTGGAGGGAGGGTGTATTTCAACATCGTTGATGGGCCTTGGGTTTACACAGGTCCTCTTCATCTTCCTCATGAGAACTTGGGTAATACTTGGCACGGGCAGCTCTTTTGGGTCGGCTGTCGTTCAGTATTCTGTCTCGGGGTAACCTGGCTCATCGCCTCCATGGGCGGCTTCTCCTCCTCCTCCTTCTCCTCTTGATCATCATCTTCAATTGCTTCATCATCACATCACATCACCACCATCACCACCATCGTCATTTTTTGCATCATCATCATCAGCATCAGCATCACCATCCTGATCAGCATCAGCATCATCAACATCACCATCGTCATCGTTATCGTCTATGGCATCATCATAATCATCACCATCATCACCATCATCACCATCATCATCACCATCACCATCACCGTCGGCAACAGCATCAGCATCAGCTTCAGCTTCAGCATCAGCATCCTCTTCCTCCTCCTCCTCCTCCTCCTCCTCCAGTTGCGAGGCGGTGCGGTGCCGCGACCCGCAGTTTCCCCGGATCTGTGTTGCCTCCATTGCCTCTGGGTGTTTCGGAATGGGGGGTGATGAATGGTGGGTATCGAGGGCTGCAGGAGGGCGTTCTCAAGAGGGGTCCTGCCCTACAGGTGCTCCGCGGCCGAAGGTGCCTCCTTTTTGTTGGCTCCTTCATTCAGCAATTCCCGATTCTTCCTCGTCCACCGCCTCCTCCTCCTCCTCGACCTTCTCCTCCTCCCTCTCCTCCCTGCTCCTCCTCTTCCTCCTTGTCCTCCTCCTCCTCCTCCTCCTCCTCCTCCTCCTCCTCCTCCTCCTCCTCCTCCTCCTCCTCCCCCCTCCCCCTTCTCCTCCTTCATTAAGCAATCCTCGCCCACCCAATTCACTTGACTGCTTTTCGGCTGCGCGCGCTGGTCTTTGGCGCCGTTGCCGGGAGGAGGAGGACGTGGAGGCTGACAGGAAGGGTCGTGGAAAGGAGGGGGAGGGGCGATGAAGATGGACGGGTGAGAAGGTGCAGGAAGAGGGACAACGGGATAACGAACAGCAGGCGGTTCCTATGAGGAAGGGGGGAATTGGCACCGCGGAGGACGAAGACGACAGGGAAAGAGATGATGACCATGCTCACGAGGATGGGGAGGAGGAGGAGGGGGAGGCGGAGGAGGAGCCGGAGAAGCGGGCGCATTAGGGTGAGGATGAAAGGGGATCCGGAGGATGAGATGAGGAGGGGGGCTGGTTATGCAGGAAGAGGGACGAGGAGAGCGGACATGCAGGAGAAGCAGGGGGAGGGAATCTAGAAGAGTAGTCTGGGGAAAAACGGCTCGGGAGGAAGAGGTTTAGGGGAGAAGAGGGAGCGGGAGGGAACGGAGAATAATAACGATGTTGATGATGACGATGGTGTGATGATGGTGGTGATGGTGACGGTGACGGTGATGGTGATGGTGATGGTGATGGTGATGGTAACGGTGATGTTGATGATGTTGATGGTGATCATGATGATGCTGCTGACGTTGATGATGCTGAGGATGATGCTTGTGATGATGATGGTGATGATGATGATAATGTGTTGTTGTGATGATGGTGATGATGATGACCATGTGTTGTTGTGATGATGATGGTGATGGTGCTGAAGATGATGATTATGATAATGGTGCTGTTGATGCTGATGCTGGTGATGATGATGATGATGATGATGATGATTATGTTGGTGATGATGCTGATGATGATCTCGATGCAAATGAAGATGATAAAGGCGATTTTGATGATGGTGAAGATGCTGCTGCTGCTGCTGCTGATGATGATGATGATGATGATGATGATGATGATGAGCATGATGATGATGCTCATGCTGTTGATCACAATGCTGATGGTGACGATGAGGATGATGACGACGATGACGAGGATGATGAGGATGCTGAGGATGATGATGAGGATGATTTTGGTGATGATGATGGTGGTGGTGGCGATCATGATGATATTGCTCATGACGGGGATGATGATGAGGATGATGGTGCTGTCAATTGTGATGATGGTAATGGTGATGTCGATTGTGATGGTTACGACTCAACGGTTACGACGATGATGATGTTGATGCTGATAATGACGATGATGATGATGATGATGATGCTGATGATGATGATGATGATGATGATGATGATGATGATGATGATGGTGTGATGATGGTGATATTGATGGTGATGATGATGTTGATGATGATGGCTATGATGATGATTGGTAATAAAGGTGCTGATGAGGCTTCTGATGATGATGAGTAGGATGATGATCCTGAGGATGAGGATGAGGCTGATGCTGCTGCTGCTGATGATGATTATGCTGGTGATGACGATGACGATGTCGATGGCGCTAACGATGTGTGTAATGCTTGTGTTGATGATGTTGTTGATGCTGATGATGTTGATGCTGCCTGCGAGACGATGATCAAACTGCAGATTATGCTGCTGATGGTCATGATGGTGATGCTGCTGCTGATGATGCGGATGATTGCGTGGATAATGATGACAATGATGATGGTGATGATGACGATTATGTTGGTGACGCTGATGCTGATAATGCTGATCCTGAACATGTTGAATATGGTGATGATGATGAGGAGGATGTTGATGATGCTGATGATGACGGTGATGATGATGATGATGATGATGATGATGATGATGATGATGATGATGATGATGATGATGAAGGTGGTGGTAGTGATGATGGTGATGCTGATGATACTGATGCTGAGGATGGTGCGGCTCACGATGCTGAGGGTGATGCTGGTGATGGTGTTGGTGGTAGTGGTGGTGGAAGGGGGACGAGGAGTACAACAACGAACCGCAGCAGCAAGAGCGGGAGTGGACGGAGCGCGAGGAGCAGGAGGACCAGGGCAAGGCGGAGGTGGGTAAAGGAGGGGTGCGACGACGACGAGGAATGACTCGGATCTAGAACAGTGACCCACGCTGGGGCGCGAGAGCCGTTCTGAACGACGGGGGCAAAGCGCCGATCCTGACATGAGGCCCGCGCTGCAGCGACTGCACTACTGGGGCTAGTGGCAAGCACCATCGGAAAAAACCGACATCATGAACGCCCGTGAAAGGTTAGCCAGCGTGGGCCCCGACCAGTGCGTTGTTGCGCCGTCGAGGTAACCCTGTCTTTTTGGCGCAAGCCATGTGTTTCAAGCTACGGCGTGTAATCTACGTGGTGCGAGTTTATGGGGGTACAGCTTGTTCACGCCTCGTGTGCCCCCACCAGCCCACCCCAACGCATCACATTTCGCGACGCACTCCGACGGGCGTGGCTTTCGGGCGTGTCCCCTCCTGCTCTCGCATATCTCCTCCTCTTCCGCCCACCTTCTACATACCTTCTGTTGTACATGCTTTTGGGGGCAGTGGGAGGGGGACGAGGTGGAGCAGGAGGAGGAGAAGGCGGTGTGAGGATAGCGACGACGAGGAGGACGACGGCGATGACCAGGATAGCGACGACGCACCCGACGACGACGACGACGGCGACGACGATGACGGCGGCGAAGACGACGACGACGATTGGGGGCTATGTTGCAGGTCTCTGGGCCCTTTCGGGGTCCTCGTGGAACCTATTGTGGCACCTTTGAGGCTCTTTTGGGGGATCTTTTGGTCCTCTTGGGGCTCTTTGGGGGGGGGGTCTGGGAGGGCTCGTGGGACCGTTTTGGACACGGCTCAAAACGGAGCGCGGCGTCAGTTACGCCCCCCCCTTCGGGACCCGACACGTCGCCTCTTGATGCCCTCTTGGGCCGCTCTTGGGGCGCTCTAGGGCGCTCGTGGGCCCGTCTTGTGCCTCTCTGGGGGCGTATCTTGGGGCTCTCTTGGGCCATCTTGGGGCCATCTTGAAGCCTCAAGAGCCCATCGGAAAAAAAGTCGAGAAGGCAACAAACATTGAGTTACCTCAGGTGTTTGAAGGATTCTGGCCTCTCGGGGGCGTCCTTGGGAAGCTCCGTGGCCACTTGGTGCCGTCTTGGGGCGGTTTTGGAGCCTCGTGTACGCTTGTTTGGAGCTATCTTGAGTTATCGAAGGCTATCTTGAGCGATCTTGGAGGTCATCTTGAGCTCTCTTGGGCTGTCTTGGCGCCATCTTAGGCCAAAGCAGACGCTCCAACCACCCGCGCCCCCCCCCCTCCAGGCCAAGGGGGGGGAGGGGGAGGGGTACCCCCCCCCGAAGGGGAAGAAAGGGGGTGGAACATACCGGGCTCTCTAAACCACCTCCGCCCAGATGGCTGGTGGGACTATGCGGTGTAAGCCATTTGGTGCACGTAAGCTATGCAGTGACAGCTGTGCGGTACGAGCTGGAGGTGGAAGCTGTGGGGCGCAAGCTGTGCGGTGCAAGCCATGCTGTGTAAGCGATGCGGTTTAAGTTCTGTCGGGCGCCAACGAAGCGCCCCCGAGGCGGCGCGGGCCCGCAGCGTTGCGAACACCTGGGAAATCCAACCAACGACTTGACGCAACGAAGTAAGAAGTCCTCAGTGCAAGCGCCGTTTGGGGGGAAGCTCAGTGCGCGGAGAGGGCGGGACACCTCCTGCACAGAGTCAGGGGAAAAAGAGGGAGTAGCAACTCACATGGCTTAACTGCGGAAGCATGGGGAAGGGGAGGGTGAGCAGGGGTGGGGGGACCAGGAGGGCGGCGGGGGAGGCGGCGGGGAGAGGAGGATGAAGCGCGGCAGGAGAATGAGGAGCAGGGAACGTGGGGGAGGAGGAGGAGGTGGAGGAGGAGGTGGAGGAGGAGGGGAGGAGATGAGGAGGAGGAGACGGAGGAGAGAGGAGGAGGAGGAGGAGGAGGTGGAGGAGAAGGAAGAGGAGGAGGAGGAGAAGGAGGAGGAATAAACATAATAACAGAAGTATCCCGAGGAGAGGGAGGAGGCAAATGAAGACGGAGGATGACGCAGGAGGGAGGAGGAAGGAGTCTCCTCCTCCTCCTCCTCCTCCTCCTCCTGCTCCTCCGCCTCCTTCTCTCTCCTCCACCTCCCCCCCTCCTCCTCCTCTCGCCTCCTCCTCCTCCTCCTCCTCCTCCTCCTCCTCCTCCTCTCTCCTCCCTCCTCTCTCTCCTCCTCCTCCTCTTCCTCCTCCTCCCCTTCTCCCCTGCCTCCTCTGCCTCCTCCTCGCGCTCTCTTCCTCTTGGCGACGCCCGCATGGGCAGCCGCGCGAGAGTCAGACCTGGGAGGGAGACCCCGTGTTGGTGTCCAGGGGGGCGTCGACGGCCTCGCCCCCTCCCCGTCCTCATCCCCTATCACCCTCACGGCATCCCGCTCCTGTTCCTTCTCGACGGGGCCGCCACCCCTCCTCGCCACCGTCACCCGCACGCCAGTTCTGATCGTCTTCCTCCCCGGGAGGGTGGTTGGGCGCACGTGGGGAGAGGAGGTCGCGGCCACGACGGCCACGGCGGCTCACCAGGCCGCGAGGGTGTAAAGGAGGGTGCGCGGCAGAGGGGGAAGAGGGGGGATGAGAGGTGCAAGGGGGGGTGTAAGGAGGATCTTGGTTGGTCCCCCACTGGGTTCCGAAGGGATTCCCGTGGGCAGTGGGGGAACCCAGGGGGTTCCTCCGCCTCCTCCTTGTCTTATCTCCAGACGTGGCAGCAGGGCGGGCAAGACGTATCACTTGAGATTTCCTGACCGCTTAAGGTCCTGAAGCTGTTTCAAGAATGGAGGGTGGGCCGTTTTCAAAATGTGGCTCCCGTCTCAGCGCTGCGCACATTCGTGTTAAATTTGCAACAGCTTCAAGGATGGAGGGGGGCCGTTTTTCAAAAGGTGGCTCTCGCATGAGTGTCGCGCACATTCGGTTTGGAAGTTGCGAGGGTTCATGTATCCGCGTGGCGGAAGTCTCAGGGATGGTGTCGTGGGATGGTTTTGGCTCACCAGGACGCAACATTCACGTGGATTCGCGATGTTGAAACCCCAGGAATGGCGTTCTGGCGCGACTTGGGACTGTCTGGACGCACTGGTCATGTTGATTCGCGGCGCTGATGTCTCAGGCAGTGTTGTGGAGCGATTGAGGGTTTTCAGACGGTTTCCATCCAATTGGGCATTTCCCGCAGTGCAAACAAATCCTCGCCGGGCCCCATGCACAGGGAACTTGGAGAGAGGGATTCTTGAAACATCGTTGATGGAGCCTTGGGTTTACATTGGTCCTCCTCCTCCTCCTCCTCTTCTCATTTTTGTTCCTCTTCATTCGCCTCCTCTTCGTCCTCATTCTCGACCGCTCTGCCCTCCTCCCTCCTCCCGAGCATGCAGCTTCTTCGGCTCGCGCCGATGGGGCGGCCTCGCTTCCGCGAGCCTGCCCGCTAGATGATCGGGCGATGGCGCCCGATCATCGCGTGAGCTCGGGCGGCAGCAGGGAGATCGAGTCGCTGGAGATCGACCGCGGGCAAGACGGCGACCGGGCCCCACCAGAGAGTGCTGCGCACGCCAGAGCTTGTTCCTCCTCCCCGGCCTCTACGCCTAATCCTCCTCCTCCGCCTCCACGCCGTCTCCTCCTCCTCCTCCTCCTCCTCCAGGAGGAGCGAGGAGGAGGACGGAAGAGGATGAGGAGGGGGAGGATGAGGATGATGATGATGAGGATGCAGATGAGGATGATGACGATGATGATGATGATGCTGATGATGATGATGATGATGATGATGATGATGATGCTGCTGCTGCTGCTGCTGCTGCTGCTGCTGCTGCTGCTGCTGATGATGATGATGATGATGATGATGATGATGATGATGATGATGATGATGATGATGATGATGATGATGATGATGATGATGATGATGACGACGATGATGATGATGATGATGATGATGATGATTATGATGAAGATGACGATCGTCAGTTTGAAGATGATGATGTTGATGCTCATGATGTTGATGATGATGATGCTGTCGCTAGTTATGATAATTCTGTTGATGATGATGGTGGTGATGAAACTGATGCTGATGCTGATGCTGATGCTGATGCTGATGCTGATGCTGATGCTGATGATGCTGCTGATGATGATGATGCTGATGATGCTGATGATGATGATTATGATGACGATGACGATGACGATGATGATGATGATGATGATGATGATGATGATGATGATGATGATGATTGATGATGATGATGAGATGATGAATGATGATGATGATGATGATGATGATGATGATGATGATGATGATGATGATGCTGATGCTGCTGCTGCTGATGATGATGATGATGATGAAGAATGATGATGATGATGATGATGATGATGATGATGATGATGATGATGATGACTGATGATGATGATGATGATGATGATGATGATGATGATGATGATGATGATGATGATGATGATGATGATGATGATGATGATGATGATGAGATGATGATGATGATGATGATGATGATCGGGCAGGGAGCAGGGAGCAGGGAGCAGGGAGGAGGAGGAGGGACCAGGGAGGAGGGAGGAGGGAGGAGGGAGAGGAGGGAGGAGGGAAGAGGAGGGAGGAGGAGGAGGAGGAGGATGGAGGAGGAGGAGGAGGAGGAGGGAGGAGGAGGAGGAGGAGGAGGGGGAGGAGGGAGGAGGAGGAGGAGGAGGAGGAGGAGGAGGAGGAGGAGGAGGAGGAGAGGACTACGACGAAGAAGAGGAGGAGGAGGAGGAGGAGGGTGGAGGAGGAGGAGGCATGAGGAGGAGGAGGAGGAGGAGGAGGAGGAGGAGGAAGAAGGAGGAGGAGGAGGAGAGCCTCCAGGCGCCCCTGCGACCAGCCCGGGCCCACTGCGAGGCGGGTGCCGCTCGCCCTCGCCGCCGGCGCTGCTCGTCCTCGGCGCCGCCGTGGGCACCGCGCTGGTGGCCAGGGGGGCCCTCTGGCTGCGACGGCCCAGGGCGGCCCACATGCTCTGCTTTCGGATTTCGAGTTGAGTAGGGCCGAGGGTCAGAGAGCGCCCTCCTCTGCAGGACCATCCCAAAACGGGCGTGCAGGTGCTCAAACGCCTCGCTGGTTAAGCCGACGAGGATGTGCAAAGTCCAACCGTTCGCCTATATCCAAAATGCTGGCGTGACGCCTGGTGTGGTGCATGAATTGCAGCTTGACCGGACAGGTTGGTTGCGCCCCTTGACGTCACTTTGGGGTGTTCTGCAGACCTGACCCCCCAGCCCTACTCAAATTTCGAGTGCAGTCGGACGGAGGTATGGGATCGAGGTCGGTTCGGGGAGGGTGCCCCAGTGTTCTTCGTGCTTGCTGTATGTCCTTGTGCATCCTTGGAAGGGTACCCCTGGATGTTCTGTGTGTTTGGGCTGGCGGAGGGTCGCATGTCCTTGAAGGATGTTATTGTGGACATTATTCTATTCTAGGGCCGACTGTAGGACATCGGCCACGCGCAGAAACGGGGTAGGGGAAGGGGTGGAGGCTTCTCAGAAGCACCCTTGCTTCTGAGAAGGCGCAGGCCATGTCTGTGTAGATGTCACCGCGCTGGTGGCCTGGGGGATCTCGCTGCGACGGCCCAAGGCGGTCCAGATCTCTGTTTTCGGATTTCGAGCAGGAAATCGGCCACGCGCAGAGGGGGGAAGGGTGAGGGGGGAAGGCATCTTAAAAGCACCCTTGCTTTTTTAAAAGGCGCGGGCACTGTCTGTGGGCGTCACCGCGCCAGTGGCACGGGGGCCTCTCGCTGCGACGGCCCAGGGCGGTCCGGATGCTCTGGTTTCGGATCTCGAGTAGGGAATCATGACTGGTCCTATTAGGAGGAAGGCGAAGCTTTTCGGATAATGGGCGATACAGCGGCGCAAATGCTTCACACATTAGGGACACGAACATCAGTGCCAGTGCCTACTGCTGGCATTGGTCTACAGGCGGCCTTGCCTGGCTCCGTCGGCGCCAATTGTGCCGCTGGGTCAAGGCTCGGGGGGTCACGTCACGTCCCTGCGGGGCCGAGTGCCTGCCCTTCCCGTGGCGGAGCGCCGTACAGGGCGCGTTGCGTCACCGGGCGCCGCACAGGGCGCGATGCTTCGCACTTGCCTGCCGTTTCGTGGCAGGGCGCCACGCAGGGCGCAGGCCGCGTCGCGGAACGCGCGATCGCCCTCCCGCCGCCCCCGCTTCGCGCCGAGACGCGCACGTCAACGCGGCGAGGGATTCATGTTCGGCTTGCGCTCGGCCGTTTCTACCTCGGCTCCCGCTTCCCGAGGCAACGGCCGGCGCGCAAGTTACGGGGGGTACTCACCTGGTCGTCTCCTGGAGGCTCCTTCCCTGGTGGGCTGGGGGTACATTCGCCCCTTGGTGCTAGGGAAAAGGAAAATCATCGACCCACGCCCTGAGATCACCATGTTGTCAGTAGCCTTCGTGGCTCGGATGAGGGGTGGCAGGCACAAATCCCCAGCGCCATCTATGTAGGCTGGCCCTCTGCACCAGTAATTTCCACAACGTGGTGAAAGCAACGGTTTTAGACAGCTCATCGTGTTGATTTGCTTTCGGATTTCGAGCAGGAGCTTGACTACAGCGCGTCGGAGCGAAAGGCGCGGCGACATTTTTGTAGCAGCGCAAGCATCGTTCGAAGAAGCACTGCATGTGCCTGATGTGATCGAGAGCGGCTGTGTCACGGAACACTTCCTGCAGAACTCCCTTGGAGCGGCACCGGAAATCATGCGCGCTGTGGCAAGAGGCTCTGGTCCCAGGCGATCCTTGCGGTGTGGAAAAAATGTCACGGCGGGCGTTTCCTGACCCCTCGAGCAGGAGATCGACAACACGAATGGCTTACACCGAAAATGTTCTCGTCGAGTCAGCAAATTCATGAGATTCGTAGATCTACAAACACAATTCGCATTTGTGTGTCAATTCGGCGAATCAAGAAATAATCCGGAGGTGCGTCACATTAGTCGATCTCCTACTCGATGCTTCCAGGTTGTCGGACGTTTTCATTGCCTTGGCATCGCTCGGACGTGTGCATTCTTCCTCGGCGAGAGCCATCGAGGGCCATCCTGGACCATCGAGCAACAAAAAACACGCGCGAAACCGAGACATGCACGGGAAAGGGACGTCCGAGCGACGGCAAGTTGTCGCAGGCCTAGAGGTCGCCACCAACACCAAGATCGGCGGTGTGCCTCCACCGAGGGAAGACGATCCCGATCTCGGCGATGGTGGTAATATTCTGGCTTCCAAGGCGACCGAAATATTACCACCAACACCGAAATCTAGGATCATCTCCCCCCTGTGGAGGCAACCCCCTCTGTTGGTGTTGGTGTCAATTTCCACGCCTCCAAAGTTGCGCGATCCGAGCTTTCTGGGCGTTTTCGGTGGCCGCCCTGCCATGAGTTTCGAAGGGTCCTGGCGCTTTCGTTGGTTCCCGGAGGTCGTCCAGCTTCGGGGAGCCCCCTGGCGGCTACATTTCGCGGAGCCCCCGGGGGGGGGCCCGGATCGTCCCGAACGACCGCGAGAGGTCTGGCTCCGATATGGACCTTGGAGGAGGAGGGGGAGGAGGAGGAGGAGGAGGAGGAGGAGGAGGAGGAGGAGGAGGAGGAGGCGGAGGAGGAGGAGGGAGGAGGAGGAGGAGGAGGAGGAGGAGGAGGAGGAGAGGAGGAGGAGGAGGTAGGAGGAGGAGGAGGAGGGGAGGAGGAGGAGAGAGAGGAGGAGGAAGAGAGGATGAGGAGGAGGAGGAGGCAGGAGGAGGCAGGAGGAGGCAGGAGGATGGAGGAGGAGGAGGAGGAGGGAGGAGGAGGAGGAGGAGGAGGAGGAGGAGGAGGAGGAGGAGGAGGAGGAGGAGGAGGGGGAGAAGGAGGAGGAGGAGGAGGAGGAGGAAGAGGAGGAGGAGGAGGAGGTGCGTCTTCGTTGGGCCGCTCCGCGGGGTCCCAGCATCTCCGGCGGCGTGAGGCTTGTCGCGGGTGTTTTTTTGTCCACGACGGCGCCCTTTTTTCCTGGGGCCGCGCAGCGTGCTTGGGCCTTTGCCGCGTCGTGGCGGAGACCACGGCGGCAGGTGCTTCGCCCCATGCGGTCTCGCGGGGCCCTCGCCAGGCCCCGGGGCCATCGTGAAGTCGGGCCTGTTCTTCTGCAGGGGGGGATATTCAAAAAACACACAGCAGTTGTCGGGGGGCGATGTTCCTACCAGTTTGGGCCACTTGTGAGCATATTCTGGGCTATTTTTCATCTGTCATCCCAAATCCGCCTGTAGGGGGACACGCCCGACCCAAGACCATGGAAACAGGACGCGGCTTTCCGACGCCCTGGCTTTGTCAACACCCGCAGGCTTCCGACTCCCTGGTTTTCTCAACGCAAGCGCTTCTATTAGGTTTTACTTACACATGTATAGGCCTCAGGGTGCTTGCTGCTTTCGGGCCCCAGCATTTCCAAACAGTGCGCGTGACGAAAGAGTGGTCCCAGGGGATCGGGTCGAGTGGTCTGGAGGCCACGCATTGGACACACACGACATCGGAGGTCTGGGCTATCGTCCTGCTGCTGCTTTCCTTTCTCCCAGTGCGGGCCCCCGAGGTGGTAGTGGCCGCCAGCCAGCTGCTGCCTCACTCCGCGATACTCGGGGGGAAGAAGGCGACTGGCTGCAGCGAGGGCTACGCGGCGCTGGCCTCCTACAGCGCACCCGCCCCTGGACCGGAGGCGCCGGCGCGCGAGGACGAAGGCGAGGTTCCGGACATATCCAGGCACCCCTGGGACACCCAAGCCCAGGCATGCCCGCATCGTGGACAAAAGCACGGCGGAAGGTGCTCGACAATTTCCGCTTCTTCGGGGGCCCTCGCCCGTTCGTCAAGCAACGGCTCACAGGATGCTAAAAAAGTTGGCCCTGGGGAAGGGCCGGGACTTCTGGGGACCCCGTATGAGACGACAAGACATCGGATGTCCGCGGTTCGGTGGATTCGGCCGCCCAGCAGTCGGTTGCGCTCGGTCGCTTCGATGCGGCCCGTTGTCGTGCCGCTGCCGCCTCGCTGCGCCCTTCTGGGCTGCCTGCGGCGATTGCGGTAGCGTGGTCGGTTCCGTCGGTGTTCGCCCGTGCCTGGCGCCCCGGGCGGCCTCGGCGCCAGCCCGAGGCTCTCCCACGTCGTGACTGTTTTGGCGCGGGCGGTTTTCCTCGCCGAGCTGTGGGCTGCTGTTGGGCCGGGCAGTCAGCAGAGAATCCTGGGCGGAGAAGGGGACTCCCCAACGCCGTGGTTGTCTTGGCGCGGGTGGTTTCCCTCGCCGAGCTGTGGGCTTCTGTTGGGCCCCGGGGCAGTCAAGGAAGAATGCTGGGCGGACAGGGGGGCTCCGGGGAGAAGGTGGAAGGCCGAGTGGACCACTCGTGGGAAGCGGCATGAAGCCGAGTGTCGGATGATATTGCAGGGGCCAGGGTAGGTCGCTAGTCGGCCAGAGTGTCTTGCATTTCCGTACCTCACGCTGCCAAACCGTACTTAGCGGTCGCGCTCGCTTTCACGAGTGAGACCCAGCGTACATGTGCATTCTGTGGTGGCCCATGCCAAACAACACTGTGCTTGCCTCCAGGGTGCCCTGGGTTTCTTGGGTTTCGATGGCTTCGCCGTGGAAGGCGCGACGCTCCCACACCAAAGATCCATGGACGTCCTGGGGTCTCAGGGTTGGGTTTCTTGTGGAAGGTCTCTTGTGGTCGGGCCCCCACTGTATCCAAAAGACTGGGAATGCTTGGGATCCGACCGTCAGGCCAGACGTGAGCGTGGCTGACGTGACAGCGTGGGCAAGAAGCCGGGCAGATCGCGCCAGGCGCGAGTTTGAGGAGCCGCCCTCGGTGCGCAAATATTTCCCTTCGCCCGCGGACTGGGCGAGCACAGTTATCTACAACATCGTGATCGATCGTTTCAACAATGGCGACGTGTCCAACGACAAGGCCAACCTGCATCAGCAGCAGCGAGACGACTTGCAGAACAACAGGTACCGGGCTAGCATGCGGCACGGAGGGGACCTGGAGGGAGTCCGGAAACGATTGCCGTATATGAAAGACCTCGGTGTGACTGCGATATGGATGACCCCCATCTTCACGCACAACGGCGACTACCACGGCTATTGCACCTCCGACCCGACGCGGGTGGACCCTGGCTTCGGCACGAACGAGCTGCTGCGCGTGCTCGTAAGAGAAGCCCATGAGCTGGGCATCCTCGTAGTGCTGGACATCGTTATAAACCACCTGTGCGACCTCGACACGACGTACCAGCAGGATCGCAGACCGGGGGACGCCGCCGCGGCAAAGTGCGCCAATCACTTCGACAAACTGCACTGGGACGGGGTGGAGGGTGGACCCGACGAGCAGATGCGGATGAAGTTCTCCGACTCTTTTTTCCCAGGGTTGAAGTCGGACGAGTTCTTCAACCGCTGTGGCCAGAACACGGAGAAGACGATGGGCAGCCAGGATCCACTCGCCGTGTACGGTGACTTTGCTCCTGGGATGTTCGACTACAACACCCGCGATAAGGGTTTCCAGCAGATCTTCACGGAGATCATGAAGTTCTGGGTCGCTTACGCAGATGTGGATGGCTTTCGTTTGGACGCCGCGAAGCATGTCACCGAGGATTTCCTCGCATACTTCTCCACAGAGATACGCTTGTATGCAGAGGGACTTGGCAAGGCCAACTTCCTCACCGTCGGCGAAGTCGCGGCCACTGTGGACTGGCAGGCGCGCCGCATAGGCGCCATGGCGTCAGACCTGGAGAACCCGAACAAGCACGACACCAAGCTCGGCATGCCAAAGACAGTCACGCAGACGCTGGTGAGCCTGAAGGCCGACTACCAGGCTCACGGCGCCTTCGGGATGCCTGGGATGGCTTCGGTCTACAATTTCTACGCCAGCGGCAAGGCCAGGTCTGCCATGCACGGGGTGGATAACGACGGTTGGAAGGCATACGTCGGGTCGTTGGGCTCCTACGTAGAAGACGGTGGGAGCGAGCTGTCCACCGTCATGGGGCAGCTGCAAGACTGCTGCGCCTCCTCCCCAGAAGGCTGCACTGGGCAGATGCCCAAGCTGTGGACCCTTCTGGAGATCCACGACTGGCCCCGTTTCACTTCGAGGTTCCCGAACGACCTGGCGTTCGCCAAGGTCGGCTTTGCTTGGCTCTTCACCTTCCCAGGCCAGCCCATCATATACTACGGCCAGGACAGCAGTCGACGACCACCCGAAAGGGCAAGTGGGTTCAGAGTGGATCGATGCATGCACCAGCTCGTCTGGTCGGCCAAGGAGCCCAAGGAACTCGGCGGATGACTTCGGTGGATAGGCGCTCCGGCGTCCCACCGCCAGGGGAGGCGGGGCGTCCATACACCGGGCTCCGTGGCCGTCCAGGCGACGTGGTGCATGTTTCGAGCCCCGCCAATATGTCCAGGACCAACCAAGCAAACGTTTGTGCAATGACACCCGCAGCTTATCACAAACAATCTGTCTGTGGAGGACTCCCAGAGGTTCCTCCTAGTGGCTCCTGTTCCTGAAGGTGTCCAGGCGACAGCCAGGATAAGCTGAACAGTTGCGGGAACAGTGAGCGTGGCAAAAAGACAACTGCCGCCAGGAGCAGGGCTTCAACAACGAGTGCCCTGGCAGAGCGGGCGTCCAGGCGGGGGACGGCACGGAGGATGAGCCACCGAAAAAGCCCACTCACAAAGGAAGAGGAGGAGGACGAGGAGGAGGAGGAGGCAAGGGAGGAGTAATGGGGGGAATGGGTGCTGACCGGCGGGGGGGGGTCGAACCCAGACCTTCGACGTCGTGTTTAGTTCTCGAAAATAGCGCCGAAGCTCTCGACCCGATCCCCTGGACCAGGCTTTCGTCGCGGATGGCTTTGTTGATCGTCTTGGATTCGGAGGGTTGCCCCCCCCCAGAAGCCGAGATTCCAGGGGGTCGAGATGCTTCCAGCTGCCTAGAGGAGCTCGTGAGCCTGTGCGAGCAGGTGAGGGAGCTCCCTGGCGACTGCCGGGCGGACTTCCACCCGTTCTTCCGCCAGGACACCTGCGTTTTCCTTCTCGCCCCAATTTCTGTTGCACCGGCTCCGTTATTCGTCTTCTCCTTCTTCTCCTTCTTCTTCTCCTTCTTCTTCTTCTTCCTCCTCTTCTTCCTCTTCTTCTTCTTCATCTTCTTCATCAGTCTTCCTGGTGTGCATTATCCTTCCCGCTCCTCCTCCTCCTTTTCCTCCTCCTCCGCCCTTCTGCCCCATCCCCCCCCCCTTCCTTGTAAGCGGCTCCTCCCCGTCGTGCCGCAGGGTGTGCCAGCGGGTCGGTCTGGGTGTTGCGCTTGCAATGTCGGCACATGCCACGACTGCAGCTTCTGAAGCTTCCCCATACTCATACTTCGGTCGGGCGTGTCCCTCGGCAGGAGGGACATTCAATCATAGTCAGCCAATAGTCTGGGGACGATGTTCCGACGACGTTCTGACTGTGTTCGAATATGCTCTGACATGTTTTTGATGTCCGTCCAAGATCCACTTGTGGGAGGACACGCCCGACCTTACCTCCTGAAGCTTCCCATGCTTCTACTGACGGAGGGCGGTTGGCTTGTCAACATGTTGCGTTCGCATCCAGCAATGCCAGCATCTATTCTAATTACGGCGGGTCGTTTTCAGCACGCCGCTCTGGTCGCAGCGCTGCGAACATTCTGGGTAACAGTTTGGACAGCTGCTCGGATGGCGGTGCGGCCGTGCTTTTCCTCTAGCTGGGTATGGCCTCAATGTCGTGGACATTCGTTTTAAAAGCTTGCAGCAGCTACGCAGACGGAGGGCGGTTCTCGTGTGTTTAAAGTTCGGCTGGCATGGGACTCGCGCTTGACATTCTGGGCTCCCGCGCACTTCTGTTAGAACCGTGCAGTTGTCAGACGCTAGTGGGGAGCGGCACCACCAGGTTCAACATGGGGCTGCACGCAGGAGGGCGCAACATGTGCATGGATGGAGGGGGCTTCCGCCTGAGACCTCTCAGGATCCACGTCATGAATATTCAACGGGCCCGAAGAGGCCAAAATCATTGGTTTTCCCTCGGTTCTAACAGTTTTTTCTTATTTCCTCCTTTTCGGGTTTCCGACGACCCAAGACGGCCCAAGAGGCCCCCAAGATCGCCCCCAGAGCGCCCAAGAAGCCTCTAAGATCCGACGTCGCGATTGTTTCACAACGTCGTCCCCGAGAGGTCTGGACCCTTTCCACGGGACCGGTTTTTCATCCTGAGTCGTCTTTTGGCGGCCCCGGGGCCTGGTAAGCGCGGCCGGATGCCGAACATAGGGAAAAACCTTGGGTTGCGTTTTTTGTGCACATCTTGAGGGGGTCTTTGACATCCTTGGGGTAGGAGAACAGAAACAGCTTTTCGCAGCCGCGATGGGGGACCCCGATGGGGGGGCCCCATGGGCTGCCGATTTCGGGGGCACGGGCCCCCTTGCATTTGGGCATCAGAGGCATGATTCAGACGCCTTGCAGGCAAGCTGTCTGGGGGAAGAACTCCACAGCTGGTCGGATGCAGAGCGATCCTTTTTCAACGTAGTGTTCTCGCTTGAGACTCGTTTGAGTGTTACGACTGGTGTTCGCACTTGTACAACCGTTACTCGGACGGATGCGGTTCCTTTTTAAGACTGCTCGTGGCAGCCGAACGGCACAGGCATGTCTGTGCCTAGGCACAGACATTCGTGGTAGTTGCAAGGATGGACAGCGGCCCCTTTCTTCACGAACTTCCTGGCTTGGCTTTCTATTTGCACGCAGCACTGTTTCCTCCTCTCCTGACCTGCCTCTTATATTCCACCTGCATGTCCCTTTCGCTATCTCGCCTCCCCTGTGGCCCCGAACTGCGACACTGTGGAATGTTTCGTGAGCTCCTGGGAGGTCCACCGGAGCGGCGCCCTAAAGGCATCCAAATTAGACCCCGCCTCCCTGGGTGCTGCGAATAGGGCGACGGTCACCACTCTCGTGATCTCTTCGGAGGCCCAGCAGAGCAGGGTCTTACGCGGATCAGAATGTTACCGCACCCCCCTGGGGGTGCTGTGAGTTGCGCAACTGTCGGTCGGCACTTTCGCGGGCTCCTGGGATGTCCAGCCTGGTGCGGCCTTACACGCTGTTCGGAACGGGACCTCGCTCACCAAGGTGTTGCCAGCTGCGCAACTGTCGCCACGATCGCGTGCTCATAGGATGCCCAACGGGGTTGGGTCTACGCGGAGCAGAATGAAACCTGGCCTTCCTGGGTGCTACCAAGTGTGTATTTGTTGCCACCTTCGTGAGCCCTTGAGGAATCCCGCGCAGCGAGCTCAATGCAGACGCACACGAGACCTCGCCCCTCTGGGTGTTGCCACCTGCGCAACCGTCGCCATGTTGTGCTTGGTTCAGCCCAGCGGCATGCGGCCCAACGCAGACCCAAACGAGACCTATCCCCCCCTGGTGCTACCAACTGCATACCTGTCGCCGTGTTCGTAAACCTTGCCCACGGTATCTTCCCTTTCGCTCTCCACGTCCTGCCCCTCCTTCGTTTCGTCGTCGTCCGTCTGCCGTCCCCATTCGCCTCCTCCCCTTTGGCGTCGCCCCGTACAAGCTCCGCTGTGCACGCAACGAATCGCTTCCTTGCGTAACAGCCGCGGAGAGGGAACGTGCCCTTCGAATGCTGCCATTTGGTGCAGATGGGCTGGGCAGGCTCCCGGGCGACTGCAGAGGAGGCTCTCGCTTGCATGGCAGCGGCATGCGGCGCGTTCGTCTGTCCAGGGTCTGCGCCGCGCAGTGAGGGGAACGACTGCCGAGGCGGGGGCCTCGGGACAGGAGGGTTGTGCGGCAGCATCGCTGATGTGTTCGTGGGCTTGCTGCAGTCCTCCTCCTCCTCCTCCTCCTCCTCCTCCTCCTCCTCCTCCTCCTCCTCCTCCTCCTCCTCCCCGTACTCTCTCTCTCTCTCTCCCTCCTCCTCCTCCTCCTCCTCCTCCTCCTCCTTCTCCTCCTCCTCCTCCCCATTCTCTCTCTCTCTCTCTCTCCCTCTTTCTCTCTCTGCTCCTCCATCCTTTTCGCGCGCGCGCGCCTGGATGAGGATGGCATGGCTGCGGCAGCGCCCGCATGGCGGGGGAGCGCCTTTGGGAGCACCCGGCTCGAGCCTGGGAGCGCCTCCTGGGAGCGCCTTGGGAGCGCCGTTGGAGCGCCTCGGAGCGCCGGGGAGCGCCGGGGAGCGCGGGGCGCGCAGACGTGGGCGAGTGGTGCCGTACTGTTATGCATTCGTTCAATCTTGGCGTTTCTCTTTGATTTCGGCCTCGGGGATTGGTGGTCAGGCCCCCGGGCTCAAGATCCGGGACGGAAGCCGACCCCCGCGGAACTGGTCGGGACCTAGGGGCGCGGACTGGAATTACGCCACCAAGGAATCTTATGTGGCGTGTCTTCATGACCTACTCGTGTGGCTGCAGCCTCCAACCCCTAGGAGGCTGAGGGCGAGGGGGAAACGAGAGGCGCAGCAGTTGCCGGGCCCGGAACATGGACACCACCAGCACCTCCGTCACCTCCCTCTCTCTCCCAGGCATGGGGGGAGGGAAGAGGAGGGATGAGGGAAGAGGAGGGGAGGAAGAGAAAGGGAAGATGAGGGACCAAGAGGGGAGGGAAGAGGAGTGAAGAGGAGGGAAGAGGAGGGAAGGAGGTGGTGGTGGTGGTGGTGGTGGTGGTGGTGGTGGTGGTGGTGGTGGTGGTGGTGGTGGTGGTGGTGGTGGTGGTGGTGGTGGTGGTGGTGGTGGTGGTGGTGTGTGGTGTGGTGGTGTGGTGGTGGTGGTGGTGTGTGGTGGTGGGGGGTGGTGGTGGTGGTTGGTGGTGTGGTGGTGGTGGTGGTGGTGTGGTGTGGTGGTGGTGGTGGTGGTGGTGTGGTGGTGGTGGTGGTGGTGGTGGTGGTGGTATTTACTTCTGGGGGGGGGCAGCAGCGGACTGGAACGCGCGCCCCTCCACGGGGCGCGCGGCCTGGCCGACCTGCGGCGACGCGCCTCGTCGCGAGTTGTAAGCTATGCGCTTCAGCTGGGTTGGGGTTGAGGGGAGGGAGGGAGAGGAGGAGGAGGAGGAGCAGGAGCAGGAGGAGAAGGAGGAGGAGGAGGAGGAGAAGGAGGAGGAGGAGGGGGCGGAGGGGGAGGAGGAGGAGGAGGAGGAGGAGCAGGAGCAGGAGGAGGACAAGGAGGCGAAGGATGAGGAGCAGGAGGAGGAGGAAGAGGAGGATAAGGAGGAGGAGGGGGGAGAGGAGGAGGAGGAGGAGGAAGAGGCGGAGGAGGCGGATGAGGGGCGGAGAGAGGAGAGGGGCCGCGGAAGCCGGATGCTTCTGGGTATTCTGCTCTGCCGAGGAATCTCGATCCATAGGAGGGGGAGGAGGAGGAGGAGGACAACGGCGAAGGCCACGAGATCGACGACGACGACGACGAAGACGACGACGACGACGTCGACGACGACGACCAGGATATGTACTCGGCCGGGCCGCTGCAACTGGGCAGCGTGGTGCCAGAGGTGGACGCCATGAAGGCGATCGACATCTCCAAGCTGACGGGCGCGAGGGGGAGAAGGGTCGGTTCGGTTCGGCTGTTCGGGGCACACCAAAGAACCACAACCACTGATGCGTGGATTTGTCTGGAGGGCCACTCGGGGAAGAACCCACCGACCTCGACTTGACCAATTCGGTAGTGGTAATTGGTCGATCTGGCCTTCCTGGGACGCCGCATCGATCACAATCACTGCTCACGTGGCTGCGGTGTTCTAAGGACTGCTGCCACGCGCAAGAAATTCCCCAGGGCGTGGTCTTGATGTGGCCGTGGTCGCCTGCGGTCCCCGCCGCCGTCTACGAAGGGAGGGGTCAGGCCCTTCCCTGCCGGGCGAGCGCCGGGCCCGGTCGGGCCCGACGGCCGCAGCCGCCCATTGCAGCGGGCCCATCCTCACATCAGGCGCGCGAGGCCTCCTCCTCCTCCTCCTCCTCCTCCTCCTCCTCCTCCTCCTCCTCCTCCTCATCATCATCATCATCATCATCATCATCATCATCATCATCATCATCATCATCATCATCTCATCATCATCATCATCATCCTCTCCTCCCCCCTCCTCCTCCTCCTCCTCCTCCTCCTCCTGCTCCCCTCCTCCTCCTCCTCCTCCTCCTCCTCCTCCGCCTCCGCCTCCTCCTCTCCTCCCCCCTCCTCTCCTCCTCCTCCTCTCCTCCTCCTCTCCTCCTCCTCCTCCCCTCCTCCTCCTCCTCCTCTCTCCTCCTCCCTCCTCTGCTCCTCCTCCTCCTCCTCCTCCTCCTCCTCCTCCTCCTCCTCCTCCTCCTCCTCTCCTTTGCAGTGGGCCCTCCTCCTCCTCCTCCTCCTCCTCCTCCTCACATCGCTGGGATGCGAACAACGGCTTGCCCAGGCGAGGGACCCAACCCTGTGCGGCTGCCTCTGGCCGCAGGGGCTATGGCGGAGCTCCGCACGGTGCCCGCGAAGCGCGTGAGGGGGTGTGCCGGATCGGGTGCGGGTGCGTCGTGCGGACGCTGCCGCTGCAGCCGTCGGTGGGGCGCGTGAGGGGTGCCTGATGGGGCGCAGGCGCGCCATGCGGGCGCGCTGGCGCAGGGGCCTTCGGGAGAGCTCCCTGTGGGGCCACGAAAACGTGCGATCCCTCTCCCGCTCATTCTCCGACTCGTCCAACGTCACACTTATCTTCATGTTCAGTCATATCCAGATTCAGAGACGCTCGGGCCATTCACACTCAGATCCATTCGTCCTCAGCTATTCGCACAGGCAGCCTACGCTCACTCAGGCTCATCCATATCCAGATCCGTTGGTAATCTGACATAACGCATCCATATCCGCGCATACTCAGCTAGTAGCACTCAGATCCACACAGAGATTCGCACACGCTCAGACTAGATCACACTCTGACCCACCCACGCCCATTCCCGCTCAGATTCAGATCACTCATGCTCAGACCCGACTTCGATGGCTTCCGATTCCGATTCGATTCGACTTCGGAATCCGATTTGGATGCCGATTCTTCAATGGAGGCCTGCCAGCCTGCCGATTTCCGCCGATTCGACTTTTCCCGACGTGGCCGCCGATTTCCGCCGATCCGATTCATTTCGATCGCCGATCCGACGTGTCGATTCGTTTCTGGACTCTCCTGCAGCAATGCTCACCATGATGGGTCAGGCTTAGCATTCACGGTCAGACTCACCCGCACTCAGTGGCGCTCACACTGAGATCGTCCATCTTCAGACCCACCTGCATTCAGACTCATTCGCACTCGGACTCGCTCACACTCAGGCCAGCTCACACTCAGACTCACTCTTCATGCCCAGACTCACTAACCCATGTTCATCGCGATGTGGCAAGCGTCGCATTCGAGTATTTCAAGGGGTGGCTGGCTCTTCCTGCTCTCCTTATTCCTCCTGATTCCCTCCTCCTTCTAGGCTGGTTGGACCAGCAGGGGCGGCCGACTCGATTTAATTATGAAGGCTCGCAGGATAATCAAGTCGGGTGGAGCCTTGCAGGTAAGGTCGACGAATCCGTCGGTAGGCGAAGCAAGCTTCCCAGTTGAGCTGTGTCGTCACCATGTCCTAGAGAAACGCACTGAGGGTCGCTTCCGCCTTCACTTCTCTTCCCTGTCGTTTCCTCTCCTCCTCCTTCTCCTCATCTGCTTATCTCTTCTTCCCATCCTCTGGGGGAACCGGGCAGGGAAGCCGGACATCTTCACCGGCGACTGGACAGAGGATTCAGGGCAGCGAAGACATACGTAAAGATAATGAGACTCCCCCACGACACGCACACCCCTGGAGGAGAAGGATGTGGATGAGGGAGGAGGGCGGAAGAAGGGACACCTGGAGCAGGAGAAACGCAGAGGAAGCGCCATGATGAGGAGAGGAAGAGTGGAGGAAGAGGAGAGGGACGGGAAGAGGAGACGGACGAGGAGGATGGGGAAGAGGTGTAACGATAATGACATGGTGAGAGGTGGTGGCAGGGTAAGGAGGAATGACGAGAAAATAAAGACGATGAACACAAAGACGAGAGAAGGAGTTGGAGGAGGAGGCGCATGGGAAGGAGGAGGGAGCATGCAGAGGAGGAGGAGGAGGAGGAGGAGGAGGAGCAGACAGATGAGGATGAGGTGGAAGGAGGAGAGGACGAGGGCAAGGAGTAGGAGGATTAACTGGGGATAATGATGATGCTGCTGCTGCTGATGATGGTGGTGGTGGTGGTTGCGGCGGTGGTGGTGATGAGGAGGAGGGGGAAGAGGAGGACGAGGAAGGGGAGGATAAGGAGGAGGAGGAGGAGAGAAATGGGGGGAGGAGCATGGGGAGGAACAGGAAGAGGGGGGAGGAGGAATAACAACGGGTAAGGAGAAGGAGAAAGAGAATAAGAAGGAGAGAGGATGAAGAGGAGCAGGCGGAGCAAAGACGAGGACGAGGATCAGGAGGAGGAGAGTAATGAAGACGAGGACCAGCAGAGGGAGTTCAGAGTCAGCGACAGCCGTTGATGACACGATGATGATTATGCTGATGATAATGCTTGTGAGGATGATGCTGATGATGAGGAGGAGGATGAGGATGACGACGACGATGATAATGATGATGATGATGATGCTGCTGCTTCTGATGCTGATGATGATGATGCTGATGATGCTGCTGCTGATGATGATGATGATGATGATGATGATGATGATGATGATGAGATGGCTATGCTGGCGAGGAGAATGACCATAAGGAGTGGGACACATACACACATAGATATCTAGATGGTTTCTTAAAGCAGATGGTGTTTCAACGATGACAGTGATGATAAAGAGGATGGCGATGATGTGGTGTAGGATGATGGTAAACGGGGATGAGTGGAGGAGACGAGCGTGAATCAGGAGAAGGAGGAGGAGGCGAATGATAATGATGTAACAATGAGGGGTCAGGAGTATGCGAGAGGAGGTCATAGTAGTAGTAGTAGTAGTAGTAGTAGTAGTAGTAGTAGTAGTAGTAGTAGTAGTAGTAGTAGTAGTAGTAGTAGTAGTAGTAGTAGTAGTAGTAGTAGTAGTAGTAGTAGTAGTAGTAGTAGTAGTAGTAGTAGTAGTAGTAGTAGTAGTACTAGTAGTAGTAGGATAGTGGTAGTAGAGTAGTCGTAGAGCAGTAGTAATAGTAGCAGTAGTAGTAGTAGTAGTGGTA